CACGTGTTTCTGCAGACTCTGGCCATCGAGGGTGGCGCGGAGGACCTGGGCCAGGAGGAGGTGGTGCAGCAGTGCATGCGGAACCAGCCGTGGCTGGAGCAGCTTTTCGACTCCTTCAGCGACCTGCTGGCGCAAGCACAGGCCCACAGCCGCTGCGGGTGACCCCAGCCCAGCAGCAGCCTCCTCCTCTGCGAGCCGAGAACTGGGACAGAACTGTGTCCTCAGGAGCCAACCCTGTGCCCTCGTTGCCAGGGAAGGGGGTGGTCATTGGTCAGGGTGTGTTCATGCTGCCCCTCAGGGCAGGGTTCAGAGGTTGACTCCCTCCCAAGCCCTCTCCACTCCCTCTCTGCCCCTCCCACTGTTTGGTGTACAGAGAAATTATTTATATATATGTATAAATGTCTATTTAGTAACAGTTTCCCTCCCCTCCTTGCCCTGCTCCCCCCTCCATGGCCATAGCCCCGCCCCTCCACCTTGTACATAATGTATAGGAAAAGTCTATGTATGGTTGAGGGGGGAGGGGTGGCTTCAGAGAGCTGGGGGACCCCCTCCCCGCAAGCCCCCCTTATAGGCCAAGATCTTTGCTATAGGCCATTCCCTCCCCAGGGCATTTGGTGTCGGGTGGAAGTGGGAAGGGGAAAAAAAACGCATCTTGTTAATTATTTTTAATCTTATTTATTGTATATACCTTGGGGCTGGGGGGGGAGGCTGGGGAGGTGGGAGGGGGTCATGGGTCCCCTCCCTCCACCCCACTCCACTCCTTTTCTACGGCAATTTGTCTGTGTCTGTCCCCCTACCCTACCACCCACTGTCCCCATCCCATTGTTGTCTGGATGTGGTTCTATTTTTTATCAGTTGCCTTTCCCCTCCTCTCCCTCACTCCCTGCCCTGACCTCCTACCAACCTTCGTCTCTTCTTGCTCTTTCTTGGGCTTTCTGTACAACTCAACTTGTATACACTGTGTACACACAACCAGCCAAACGAAAATCCAACGGCAAACACTTTATCTGCAGGCTGTTTTGCCTTTGTCCTGCGACGCCTGAGTGGGCCTGGGTGGGGTGGGCATGCCAGAGATGGGAACATGGTTTCTCTGGAGCCCTGGGAGGTGGTGGGTTTCTTACATTATCTATTGCTGGCATATCAAATGAGCAAAATTTCATGCCTTCAACAAATTCTTACCATCTTGTATTTCCTGAGGATCAGGAATTTGGGGACAATTTACCTGGGTGGTTCTGACTTAGGATCTGTCTTGGTGTGGTCAAAGTGTCACCTACTGCTGTAGTCATCTGAAGGTTTGATGAGCTGGAGGACCAGTTCCATTGGTGGTTGGTTCACAGAGCTGTTGGTTGGAGGCCTAAGTTGCTCACTGCGTGGGTTTCTCCATCCTGCTACTTGAGCATCCCCACAATATGGCTGCTGACTTCCTCCAGAGCCAATAATCTGAGGGAGAGCAAGGAGGGAGCCACAAGACATTTATATCCTGATCTGCCACACTGTTCCTCAGGAACAAGTCACTAAATCCAGCACACAACCGAGGGATGGACAGTTAGACTACATTTCTTGAAGGGAACAGTATCAGTTTGGGGGTGTTTTTAAATCACTGTAGGCAGTCATGGGTATCAGGAGTTGGCTAGCTTTTTCTTGGCTAGACCTCTGTGTCCTTGAACTTTGGAATCTCAGGTCTACAGATGGACTGGTCGGATTCTAGAATCTGCCTTAGCGAGCTGAGGATTGTTAGTGTCATCAAGTCTTCAAGCAGCCTATACTATATCTAGATAGCAGCTAGATAGCATCTGGATTACCAGCCATGTTCTAGATTCTAGAGGCCTGGTAGTAGTGATAGTCAAAGATGGATCGTTGGTTTTCTAGAATTGTACGGTTAGCAGAATTAAGGATGAACCGTTAGCATCCTGAAGTAGCTATCACCTTTATTTGAAGCTCTGGGGTGGGATGTGAAATTAAGATCAGCCATTCTAGAATTGTGGTGGGTCCCAGTTAGAGTTCTGAATGTAGGTGCCATGTTTAGAGTGTGGGTGTTAGGGCAAGATCATCCCTGTAGGGACAGAATAACTTATAACTGGACTTTGGAATCAGACTGCCCAAGATGGAATCCTGGCTCTGACATTTATTAGGCATGTTTGGTCATCTATAAAATAGACTTCTGTTACAAATGAAAGAAGACAATGTGGCACGCTCAGCACTGTCGGATACATAGGGCCACTTACCCATCACTGGAGACCCTGAGAATCTTGGCAGAGGTCCAAGACATGGCGCGAAAAGAACAGGATGCTAGAGAGACTTGGCGCCATAGGCCCAGGGCCCAGGAATGGGCAGGAACCAGACAGATAGAGGCATAAACAAGACTCCTAGGGAGGTGCTAACTAGACTGACCCAACCTTTTAGCCATTGTCCAGGGAGCTCTGGAATGGTGGTCAAGAACCTTCTAAAAATGGCATGCCAGCTGTCTCATGGGATTGTATGGGTGTTTTTCTCTTGAGGAAGCATAGCTTTAGTCATCCTCTCAAAAGTACATCTTGGACCTATAAAGAGTGAGTAATCCTAGCCAGTCCTCACTGTGGAATAATGCTCTGGACTACAAGGTCAGTTTGAACCACAAAGTTAGCGGTTCAAAAATCACCAGCTGCTCCTTGGAAATTCTATACAGAGTCTCTATGAGACACCACAACCCCTTAATAACAATCCTAGTCAAGAACTTGACCACGTGAGGGAAAGACACCTCTCTACTGGAGGACTATTGAAGGTGGCACTGAGCAGGAGAAAAGTTGGCACAAGCCAATTTCTGGATCTTTCTAGAACAGCACTGTTGTAACTATTTGTGATGGTGGAAATGTTCTATATTCATTCATGAGGGTAACCATTTGCCACAGTCTTCATTTTGTTTTCGTAATTTGGCTACCATATTACGTATCACAATTCAAGAACTTTATAAAAACATTTTTTTAAAAAGATCGTGAATTGTATCCCAACTGAATCTCCCATGTTGAAATAGAAAAAAGATGGAATCAGCTTTTTGAAAGGAAAATGGCTGAGGGTAAGGGTCCAGTTACCCGCTGTCGCAATGCCACCCCCCTCACCCTCTGCCAGATGCCCTGTTTGCTTTGTTGTTTATTTTGAGATCTCTTCAGTCCTGCCTGGGGGCTTAGGTGGAGATGTGAAGTCATATTTGCAAAGCTGATAGAAACACCACACACAGACACACACTGGGGCCCTGGGGGCTGCTGAGCTTCTTGGGAAGAATAGACATGTCACACAATACATCGGAGCTGAGCTTATTCCCTTGGTGGAAGGTTGAACCTAGGCCAAGATTTTGGGAGAATGAAACCCGGAAGGGGATATTGAGCTAATCAGTGTTCTGCTGAAGAACAGAAGGACATTCATGGTTTTGGGGCAGGAGCACACTGGAGCCACAGACATAGATACTGTGCACTTTGTATCTGCTAGGCACTGTGTTTACTCCCTGAATGCAAGGTCTCCTTTAGCTTAGCTTTGCATCCACCTGGAGAAGTAGGTTGTGTTACTGCCCCATATTATGGGTGAGAGAGAGAGGCCAGATGGGGATTTGAGAAGCCTGGTTCCACAAGGTCAGTAGTAAAGTTCTTCCTTTTATGCAGCAGACCCAAGTTCAATCCCCAGCCCATGAACATGATGAACAGCCACAACCTGTTTATGAGTGCAGTTTTCTTTCATGTTACTATGGTGACGCTGTAGAACAATGCGCTGGACTGTGAGGTCAATTTGAGCTACAAGGTCGGGGCTTCAAACCCACAAGTTCCTCCTCAGAAACCCTATAAAGGATTGCTGTGAGTTGGAACCAATGCCACAGTGCTTAATAATGGTGCTGAGCAGGTTTCACGAAACTTCCAAACTAAGATAGACTGGGAGGAAAACCCTGGTGAACTACTTCCAAAAACCAGTCCGTGAAAATTCTGGGGATCACAACAGTGCAGTTACAGCCTATCAGGTGATGGCGAAGAACCAAGCAGCATTTGGTTCTGTTGTGAAGTCTCCATTGGATGGAGACGAACTCGACCACACCTAACAACATCCTGGCTCCAGTGTCCATGCAGGTCCATGCTCAATAGAACCAGGTTCTGGGTTGGTTATGAAGGGAACATTGAGAGATGAAGGTTCTGGTGACATTTCGTAAGTATGGTGACAGGCAGAGCACATTCCTGACAGGCGGCAGGTAGCAACCAAATTCCAGCTTTCTGGCCTGGTGTGGTATCCTGTTCACACCTGGTCTGTCAAATGGGCGTGGGAGGTGGATGGATGGGGCGTGGTCCACTATTCCAACTCCAGCTGTTGAGGGTAGCAAATAAGAGTGCTGAACTGGGGTCCTGGGTTAGATGTGGAATATGAATAAGCTGTGGGCTTCCAAACTGACATGTATTGTCACCCTACTGGCTCTGGCCAGAAGACACCCCACATTTAAATGTTCCCAGGAGAGAGATTAAGGGTGTGTCCATACAAGTCCTAGGATAGATTTAGGGTTTAGATTCCGAGGTCAACTCCACTGGGAACTTGTCAGCTGTCTATTCGGACACCATTCTATCCACCTGTCCCTTCTTCCAGCTAAAAAGCCTTTCTCAGCAGGTAGGTATACAAGGAGCTCTGGTAGCTTAGTGGTTATGAATACAGCTGCGAACCGCAAGGTCAACAGTTCGAAACTACCAGCTGTTCCGCGGGAGAAAGATGAGGCTTTCTGATTTAAAGATTTACAGCCTCGGAAACCCTGTATAGGGTTGCTGTGAGTCGGAACCGACTCCACAGCACATAACAACAACAACAACAAGGTATACACTGAGAGTGGGAGGGGGCAGGCAGGGCTGGTAGCAGTTGTCCATCTCCATGATCCTGGAAACTTCTAGAGTAACACTGTCCAATACAACGTTCTGTGGTGATGGAAATGTCTTGTAGGGTACTCTCACTAGTCACAGAAGATTTCATTGTACACAATTTCGACTGAAATAGTCCTCTGTAGTTCCTGGCTACCATAAGGAATCCTGCAGTCCATACTAACCCAGGGGGCCCACAGGGAAAGGACCTGGTAATCAACTTCTGTAAAGATTCTGTCAAGTGTCACTGAGTCTGTTTCAACTCATCGGGACCCTGTATAGGGCGTTCAAGGAACAGATGGAGGGTTTGAACTGCCGACCTTGCTGTTCAAACAGACCTTGCAGTCCAGTGCATTACCCTGTAAAGCCTCCGGGGAAGCTCTACTTTGTCACATGGGGTCACTATGACTTGGAATAGATTTGACCACATACAACAGTAACAAGTACTAGCCACTATAGTGAACAATGGAAAGTTCTAGGACGTTCCAGACAAACATTTTAAGCTTTACCTCAACAGAACAGATAGCCCAAAATGGAAAGATTGGAGTTGCCCTTTTGAAGGGAAAGTGAATGCTCCCAGACCACCCTCTCCCATACCACATACCTAGTTTGGCTTATTTTCTGTGTCCCCTTACACCTTCCTTGAGCGCCGGATCCTAGATCTGATGGTTCTAGACAGAGCTAGGCTTTCACGCCTGTGCACCCTGTATTTAACTAACACCCTAGCCCTTTTTCTGTTTTAAAAAACACCCCTTGACCTTGGCAGTGAAGTTTATTTCTCTGGGGGAGGGGAGTTATATACAGCAGTGACCCAGATATCCGGGAGCCCCTCAGCCCCACCAGGAGATCAGATAGGGAGAAGGCGCATTGGCAAAAGGCACACAGTGGCAATGGCCAGAGAAGGCCAGGAAATAAGGCTAAGGAGTGTAGTGTATCCTGGGAGACCCAGACGGGGAAACTGAGGCTCAGCAAGGTGCGAGGGGAGCTGGTCCCGAGAGCAGGCGTTGGTGCTTCTCTCACATCCAGACTACAGGAGGACACAGGGGCAGCCCCCATTCTTCTTGCGAGGAGTGGTGGGTGGGCTGGGCGGCAGCTCTTGTTCCTGGTATCGTCTGTGGAGAGGAAGAGGCCGGTGAGTTTCCGGGGCTAGAGGCGCTGGGACTGAAAGTGACCAGAGGGAGGTGTTTCCGCTCACCGGACAGCCCGCACCAGCTGCTCAAAGGCTTCGTCCACATTGAGGCGCAGCTTGGCGGAGGCCTCGAAGTAGGCCACGTGGTGGGAGGCGCTGAAGGTGGATGCTTCGGATCGGGGCACCTGAGGAGACACAGGTAGGACTCAGGGCCTGGTCTGGAGCACACACCACCACCCCACACCCCCCAGCAATGAAAAGTGACAGCAGTGTGTGTTCTAACGGTATGCACTAATGGGGGTTACATGCCACCCCCGATGTATATACTGAGAAAGAACAGGCAGGCAGAATAGTGCCCAAGTAGTCAAATGTCAACTTCTCAGTTCCAGACTGACGCTTGAGTCTACTGTAGTTTTGATGCAAATAACATGCCCCAGGCCTGCCTCCACTCCCAGACATTTTCTTGTGCTAATTTCTTTTAAGTGCTGTTGTAAAAAGGTTTAAACCCTGAATTTTACTTCTGGTGTGAGTAGATACACACTTCCCTGGGCCTCCCTCCTGACATCTTAAGGCTACAGCAAGTAGGTTGATAGACAGGCAAAGCAAGGTGGTGTGGTTACTTCCAGAAAGAGTTCTGGAGACAGTATCGGGGGAGAGCTCAAAGGGTTTGTTGGGAATCTTGGTGTGGCGCTGGAGAGTAGGTATGGCACCTCAAGGTTGGTTTGGACCCAAGGTTGGCAGTTCAAACTTACTAGTCACTCCTCAGAAACCCTATACAGAGTCACCATGAGTCAGAACCGACTCAATGGCACTTAACAACAAGTACAGTCAGAATGTACTTTAGAAAGGACATTACAAGCAGAGAAGAAAGTTTTAGCAAAGTCAAACCACCTCAGAGACTTCATCTAAAGAATGAGTTGTGTAGCAGTAATTGAGAATAGGGAAGAAGCCGTAGGGATGTAATGGGTTATGCACCGGGCTTGTTGTTGTTGTGTGCCATTGAGTCGGTTCC